GCGGTGAAGTATTTTTGTCGATACATCAGTATTATTTTTATGACGACTTCAAATGGTTAGCCGAGATTAAAGATCCTACTGTAACAACTGTTAAATCATTATTCGTCTGTACACATAATCTTCGTGTTTGCTGAGTATACACTACGTTCCCACTAGGGCTTGTATCATATATCACTATTGTAAGTCCGATGACCAATGCTCAATATGTAAGAAACGGTAGTCTGGCCATGATAACTATCCGAGGTAGCCAAACTCCACATTTCTCTATAGACATCCATAGTCAGTAAGTTATATTTATCTGAATCAATCTACATTTATTTTTAATTTTAAGACCTTTTCGCTTCATGCTCTCGAGCTAAACCTTTCCTGAGTATCCCATGTTTGATTGGTTATCCCGACCACGTTACACTATGATTTTTAGCCATTCGTTATATTTAGGTATTTTGTGTTATATGCCTATGTGTGATATACATATATGCTTACAATAGCTATTAGGTAACCATAGTAATTTAGTTTTAATAGTTATTAAATGTATTGAATATAATTTTAAGTATTTATTAATTTATTAATTAATTTAATATATAGATATAATAGATTAATAATAATAACTCATTATATTTCAAAATATATTATACTTCTTATTATTTATCTAAATATGTTAATAATAATAATTATTATTACATTTTTAGAAAATTAAATTTAAATTCATTTTAATTTCAATTTTTTTTTTATTTTATTTAAAGGTTTACAGGCTTCAACTACAATGGTTATTAGCCAACATTATGTTTAAGTTTAAGAAAAAGGAAAACAAAAGTAAATAACAATATTAAAAAATACAAAATTTGTTTAAAAAGATTTACAATTGAATTTGTATTAAAACTATATTTTGTTGATGAGATTGTCTTTGGTGATGAATTGGATGGTTTTTAAAGTATTCATTGAAGGCTTCTTTGATGTTGAGTGGGAGGTTGAGAAGAGTGCGTGTTGGCTCGTGTATTGGGCATTCTTCAAAAATATGACTTATGGTGATGCGAATTTGGCATGTGTTGCATATAGGGGGTTGGTCTTTACTGATAAGGAAAGAGTGTGTGAGAAAGGCATGGCCGATTCTAATGCGGATGATGGCAATATTTTGACGTCGGTTGAGGTCCGGAGGTGTAATTTAAATTTATTTTTTAAATTTTTTAACATCGTTAATGAACGGCGAATAATTCGAATGTTACTTTTATTATTTTTCATCAACTGAAATTATTGCAGTGAATAGAGAATTCATCGAAAGATTTTTAATTTTATTATCGACATTAATGTAAAGTTGGTTTTACAAATAGAAATATTTGGTTGGATTTAATAATACAACGGTATTTACATGATTTGCGATCATATGACGACCATTAAAACTTACCCCTCCATTGAAACTTTATTTAGTATATTATAGTATTTTTATTTAACGTTGTATTTTATACGTTTACATAGACAAATGGGTTGAACATCCGAGAGTGCGGACGGACTCTGCAAATAATATAAAATGTATACAAATACCCATAAATAAAGGAAACACATAGTAAAAGTCAAAGAATAATATATAAATGATATCAAATGGAGTCGGAATTATTATCAGAACTTGCCTGAAAGAGCAACTGTAAACTATATCATCGCTTTAATAAGCGTATTCCGGTTCGTGCGTACGCACACCATATACATAGCGGTCTGTTATTTTTACTCATAGCGTATTATATTGTACCGTAACATATTATTCAACATGTGTGCATAATATTATTATAACACGCAAACGGACTAACTCGTGGACCAGCTTGGTTGCGAATAATTAAAATATCAAAACTTTTATTTACCATCCAATGTTAATAATCCCGAAATTTAAAATTTCTTTCAACTTTCTCTTCGTACGAACACATGTGTATAATCCTTAAACACACTCACGCACGTACATACACACATAAACGCGCACACGTTAGCACTTTGAATCAGTTTTAAAATAGCGTGTACCATTTCCAAACATTTCCTCCCTGTCTCTCACAGTCGTATACTAAACACATTGCGGTCAAAAATCTATCCGGTATAAATGGTAAAACGTACACATATAAATAATTAATATTTATATTGTATGTTGAACGAACCGTTGTGGTTTATTTATTCATGCTATAAACCAGACTACTAGATTTTTAAACATGATAGTAAAGGTAGAAAATTATAATTTAACACAATAATCATACATTTATTATATTACACGTGTAATTTACTTAATTAACTATTAGACAGTATACCAGTGGTTTTCAATCGTTATGTGTAGGCGACCCAATATATTTTTACCTAATCTTTCATGCGATCTTTTGAAAATAATGTTCAATTTGGTACCCACACCCGTACGCTTTTCAATTATCACAACAGGACATGAGTAACGGGTATCTATTATGAAGTTCATTTTATCTATAATCAATATCGAGAAAAATGAGGTTTAATTTCTCGCCAAAAACTTATCAAATTTAATCGTTTATGTGAACTATTTAAAATTGAATAGTGACTCAATAACGCTGGTGTGCATGATGATATAGTATTTACTAGATGATGCGTGAAAAATGGTAGTCATCGTCATAGTATACATACACATACACATATCCTCAATCGTAGCCATTGTACAGGACGGGGAGTGAATGTCGTGGCGATTTCGTACAATAAATGCGCGTGTGAAGTTGAGACATTCGGACCAATTGCAATATTTTACAATTTCATTACAGTGTATATGATCTACAATTGCTATACTCCAGCGACTATACTAGGTCTATATTTAGAATCTTTTTAGATGTTAGATTTAAGAATATTACCACAATAAACTGGTCTTGCTCGTCGAATTTATCGAATACGTTATGTCCGTCGATTAAATAATGTTTGCAAATTTTGCCCTTCAATACACAGATAAACCTCTTTACGTACCGGAATACATCGTTAAGGATAAGGGGCAGCAATATGTATAGTTCCCCTCGGGCGGTCAAATCGGCACTGATTATGATAGGAACAAAGAAAATCGGGTTCATCGTGGTTCTAACTGAGATGAAACGAATTTTGGTATTATTTAGAGATTATAATGAAATTTTGTGGATAGGAAATACAAAGAAAGGAAAACGCAAATTTATAAGAAATCAATTATTAATAAAATGTAATGGAATAAAGAGATGGTCTGTAAATGTTCTGTAGATATATGGAATACCATAGAAGCAGTAAACATTTCTATGGACATTAAAGTAGAAAGTAGAAAGTGGACGATGAATACAGAGAAATAGAAAACAGGATTGAATTGGGTTATGATTGAAAAATAATACAGAAAATTAAGAGATGGAAAAGGGACGGATAAGACTATTTCTAAATATTTGGGTGCGAGCGTGAATAAGAAAAAGAAAACATTACGTTGCGTGATTATACGTCAAAAATGTCGACACTGATGTGTGTGTGTGTGTGTGTGTGTGTGTGTATGTGTGCGTTGGAATTTTATGTAGTTGAGAAAACGTTTGGTATTACTAGAGTAAAAACTTCCTGCTAGTTATTCGCATTTTACGTGTACATATTGTAAGACCAAGGTACCTATTACTGTAGTGTATACGGTGTTGTAAGTATGTATACTGCTGCAGTTGCGAGTATATAAATATACCACTTGATGGGGAGGGTTAGTGGACAGATGCGGTGAAAGTTTATTTGCTTTTAGCAAGAACATAAGAAATTCGACGTACAGTGCCGAAAGAAAATATAGTGCGACCTCAGTTTAGTATTTGTGGGTTGGCCATAAAGCAGAAATAATACCATTATCTGTGATACGTCCAGACACAAAAACATTCTTACACAATTCAGATGTTTTTATATGAAATCTACGTGGATCAACAAAACATTTAATTTTAATTTTTTTATTAAAGGCTTTTCTCTGTTTGTGAAACAAAAAGAAAATCTCAATACTATACATGTATATAGAATCAAAAATAAAATAAATATGAATTAGAAATTAAAAAATTGCGTAAAATTTCATGAGAATAATTTTTTGGAAAAAAAAATAAATTGTTAAATAAGTAAACATATATGCCAAAGTGTGCGATTAGGGGAAAACCAAAATACCCAGAAAGAAATATAGCCGAAATGGTGATAGAGGATCGACAATGTAAACGTTTGTTTATGGAATGGGATCGAAGCTTAGACGTTATGAAGATCGAAGAATAACACATGGTGTGAACATAAAGGAGATGAATATTATAGCGGAGAAAACGATACAAACGGCATAGAAGTAATATATGATCATGACTTAGTAGATAAAAGATCACAGCTCTACACTTACGATTGGTAGACGTTTATGGGTGCACACGAGTTTTCCGTGTATTGTAATTTGTAAGTTAAAATTGCGGACATATACTTTCACACCAAGATGAGGACATCTTAGCTAGTACATAGGACCAGGACTGTTTTATATTTTTATTTCGACTGTTACGAAATGTCATTTCTATGCTAAGTATATTATAATGTGCGCGAAGAAGTAGATATAGGGCCAATGCAATATTGACGTCGGTTAATATCCTTTGATTTTAGAACGTATAAATAATTCAAAAATCAAGACGCGTTACTTTGCACTTACGGTGATAAAATGTACAGACAGTCAGGGAGAAAATAATAAATGTCGTTTTCATTACTTAAGTTTCTCATCATATCATGCAAATAAACTGGTATAACTAATCACTCCATGGATAAAAACGAAATAACACAATAATATCGTTTGATTTTTTTTTTTATGAAATTCGTATATAATTTGGTATATTTCTATCTAAGGAGTTCATAATCTAGGGAGTTAATATTTTTAGGACAGAGAAGGTTATCGTAATCATATGTTGAGACACGGCTTAATTTTTATTGGGAACTGAGTTATTGGTTAACGTATGGGAAAGCTTAGACACCGTTACCGTCGATGAGCATATATTAGTTAAAGTAATTTGTATTGCTATTTTACATACCTCGTCATAATGGTACCAAAAGATGTAAGCCGGAGGTTCTGGACTAAACTTCACAACGCAAGTTAAGTTGATGGTGCTTCCTTCGTTAACGTGTATGTCCGGTCCTCCAGATATCGAAGCCGACGGTACTGCGAATAAACACACAAATAAATCGTATCAAATTGAGATATTAAGTTGTTTATTACTTTTATTGTTATAAATTATTTAATACGTAAAAATGTTATAGGTTAGTACAAGTTTCAACGATTAGAAAAAAAAAAAATAAATCACGGAAACATTTTTTTTTTTTACACAACGTAGATATACCAATGTCTTGTGTTATTTTACGTCGGAATATATTTTAAGGCGATCGCAAAATATTATTTTATTATTATTATTAATTTTTAACTTGTTATAATTTGTATAGGTTTTTCTTGGATATTTAATATTTAATATTCATATCGAGATCTTGCAAGTATATATTTATTTACCTATAAACACTACATTATTGTGGATTGAATATTCAAACGCATTTAAGATATTTAAACATTAGTTAGTTAAATATGAGCGATTTTGATTGCTTTTGAAGTATATACATACATAAACAAAAGTGGTTGAATGAATAATTGAAAAACGTGACTAAAATACTTTGGATTTGCTCAAGGATATTTCGTTATTAAACGTAAGTTTTGTTCATAAATTCGTGTACAAACAAAAGGTTATTAGGTAAACATTTCAAAACATTATGTACCAATATGTATTTGTGAGTAAACATTTTTGTTCCTTATTTATATTATTAACAAACCTAAGTCTTTCAATAACTTAAATTCGAATATCAAATAGTGTACCACCGAGTAGGCAAGTTGAGTGTTTGAAAACTTTCTTAGACATTTTTCAAAGTAAATGGTTTTAAATTTTCAGAGCTTTTGTTGTAACGTTGTTGTGCACGACAATGGGCCGTCTTCTATTTCGTTCAAATGTTTTTGATCAATAATATATCAACAGAAAACAACTGAAAAATATGTATTTTACGAATAGTCACTGTAAGTCTTAGAAGAATTAAAAACAAAATAAACATTTCTCAGGTCGACGAGAATTGTTGTGTCACAACATGTATATATATACAACTGCGTGTTATGCGGGTTCTACGACTTAAAATAATTTATTCTTACATTCATCGTAAGTTTTTTTCATATTTTCCACGCTACTATAAAATTATGTTTAAAATAGAGACAGAAAATGTGTAGCTTTTTCATAGTTTGGTAATCAGTTAAAAAGAACATTTATATCTATTATATCTAAAATGAAACCCCGTGTTACGAGTATGTCCGTAAGAAGTAAACTTTTTCATAGTTGTTGAGTTTATAACTAATTTTATACATGACATTGAAATTAGAATTGAAATGGAAAATATGAAATAAATCGGCTTTTAGAACCATTTAATATTATTAATTTTATTATATCAAGAAAAACAAAAGTTTCTGTTATCGTCTCATCACAAGAATCGTAATTATCGGGTTTGCAAAGATTGATTTTGAGTTGGCTCAACGGGTACAAAAGTTGTTATTGGTCTTTGACTCTCGATGGTAACTCAAATAGAACTTATAATTTGGTGTACACGTAATGTTATCGTATACATAATCATTAACATTTTAGATAATGTATTATAATTTAATAATATCCATATGCTATTATCATCATTGCAATTTACATACGCAAACAAAACTTTATATTTTTCTACTTATAATAATAATAATAATGTGTTTATAAAGATTTTACGTAAAATCTTATTTATTTAATTTTATTTATAGGTGAGGGGGGGGGTATAAATATTTTATACTAAACATATTTTAAACGGATCGAAATCCAGTTCTTAATATTATATTTTAATACGGTGGTGCGGTCTAACGCAATTAATTTGGTAATGTAGTGCAGTCACGGGCTGAATAAATATTAATATCATGTGTGCATTTTAATCTGCAGTAAATTACAGTATGGTATATAACGTTCCCGTTGACGGGTGATGAAATAAAGCTCGTCGATGCATACGCGCGTTTTGGAGTGATATAACGTCACAACATTAACTGTAATTGGAAAATGTGTGGTGTGTATGGTGCATTATTGTAACATTTGTCAGTTGTTAAATTACGTATTTATTCGTTATTTATTCGTGTACATTCGTTCTTATAGAGGTATTGTATTGCGGAATGTATTGTATCCGTTCTAGCATAATCAAGGTAATTAGATATTCAAAGTCAACCGATGACATCCGGATACGATTGTTAATTTATCCGTTAATTTCTCGAGACCTTAGGTAGTTAATTAAACTTGATCCATTACATAGACACTACGGGTTTTAAGAACATTTGCTCACTACCATTATCTTTCTTTTCGTTTCTCTTTTTTTTTTTTTTAGTATTAAACGGATTATAATAAAAGAAGCACGGAACACTTTCAAATCAGTGATGGTATATAGTTGAACATCAATAAGTAACAAGGATGTGCTAAACATTTAAGCGAATTCGTGTGTCACAACCTGAAACACTAGACCAAGGACGAGAACACGATCACGAACACCAGGGCCGGTTAGGTTAACTTTAACTCTTTAACTCTTTCAACGCCTAATGCAAGAACTATTTTGGAACCTCTCAATCTTTTAAATGAATTTAACATATTACTTAATCAGTTGGAATTCGGGGAACTAGAGGTGCTGAATCCCATTCGTAATCAAAAGTGTTCAAAATAATTTTTCAAACGCTCATACTCTCCACATTATAATAGTAAATAATACAGAGAACAAACATAATAATAATATTGTGATAGTACCTATATGAAGCTGTAATTGTACCTAAAAGGGCGGCTACTCCTTGCACGTCGATAAAATAATAATAAATAATAATAATAATAATTGTAATAATCGAATTTATATTAAATTACATTTTGAATATTTTTTTTTCCATTCATATTAGACCATTTGAATCGCCAACGTTCGGTTGAATTTAATTCTAATTTTGAAATCAGAATGTCTCTTACGTGCCATTCTGATTGATAACCTGTGCAGTCGCACGCGTCGATCCTAACCGGCCCTGACTAACACGATCGTTGATGATTGTACTTCAACTATGCACGTACGTCTCATCCATTTAAGAATAATAAATTAAATTAAAATCATAAAGTTGTCATCTAGTTTGTGCCGACCGTAACATCCGAACCTTACAGTTGCGTAACGTTATCTGTTTTTATTTTTCTAGATCTCTGTGAAAACAAGTTTCGCTTTAAAAAACTTAGAAATTCTATAGCACTTCTGACGCGATTTTTTTAAACATGAACTGAACGATTTTTGGAGTTTGGTGAACACGGAAAAAATTAGTGATGCTTGTAACATCGAGTATTGAAAACAGAACTTTAAAGGACGGTGTTGATATTTGTACTTGAAAAGCTGTACATTTATTTGTACAAATATAAAAAGGTAGTACGTTTATGTAGTATGCATGTTACACATAAATACGTTTTTGTGGTTTAAGGTTTTTTATATTTCTATAATTTGTCTGAAAATCTGAAAAGTAAACTGTAAATATTATTTCTACGCCCTTTTTTCTATTCATTTGTTAATCTGCCGTATTTTCAATCAATCGTAAGGAGAAATTAAAACCGATTTCGAGTGACCATATGAAAAAAACTTAATGAATAATACAACTACGGTGTTTGATTTTTAAAAATGCTACCATAAAACTTAAAAGAATTCTTTATTAGTTTCAACCGTCGTAGTATAGTTTTTTTTTTTTTTTACTGAAATAACCTTTCTTATTCGGTTGAACCATAATACTGGGTTTGTATTTGCTACAGCTAAATGTTGACTGTTTGAAAGTGATTCGTAATACAAGTAGTTTAGGATGTTATGAGTTGTAGTTCAATACAATCAAAATAAAAAAAATAGCCAAAATTCAAAATGTTCGTAGCAGTTAACAGCGCTAGGAGTAACAGATATTAAGAGACTGCGCGTATAATAAGCTGTGCAGATACAACCGTCGTGAAATGTATCAAGTCATGATGTTTAACGCATTACAATTCGTAAACCGTATTCCGCGTGATACTATTCTTTTGGCATTCGTGGCCATGGCGTTCCTCTTTTCTTACATCTCCGTTAACTTTCTTCCGAACCGCGTTCGAATCGGTCGAATCGCACCGGAACGAAGTGATCCTTGAATTTTTTTTCCTCGTTTGATACGAGTTTCAAGATCGGTGGCGCCTGCTCGTCGCAAGCACACAGTTTTCCAATAAAAGTAAAAACCGTAAGCGATCGTCGGGCGCGGTACAAGTACAATATAAATACGTATGTATTGTACGCGTTCACGGGGGAATGTAAATCCCGCCCAAAAATGGTAAATTCCGATCAAAATTAACGACCGGTAAAATAAGGTACATGTAAATTCCGCAAAAAAAAAAAAAAAAAAACAATTTAATTGATTTATTAATTGATAATTAATAAACACATCCTACACATAACTTACAAGTTTACTTTAGAAAATTTAAAATTGTCTTATACTAAAAGATTATTTCCACGTTCTAATCCTATAAATTAAGCCATTATAGCGTATAAGCGTATAAGACTCTAGGACGTGTACTGAACACAATTCATAATATTTCTATCTGATATTTCCAATTGTTAGATCCACAACATGTGGCAAAGCTGATAAGATATGACATGATTGACGATTGTCGTCTGAGATACGATTGTTCCGTGTTCGTTCGAACATTTTGTGACTTCCAAATACTTCCAAACACGCCGTGTCACGAACTGTACGGTCGTGTCGTACGGTCACGGAACGCTTAGTTAAAAATATTTATTTATCCGGGCGGAATTTACATGTACTTTTTTTACTTGGATATTTTCCCGGCTGAGTTTCCAATACCACATTGAACATTGATCCAGCTGGACGGGCGAACGCGGTCGAAGATTAAAAACGCGTTTCAAAAACGGTGTCGCGGTGCACACACGAGAAGTACTCCCCGAGAACGTTTAGACGGTTCCGGAAACGTCGAAAAAAAACTTCACAAACTTAACGTTCCCGGGGAGAAAAGTTTCGTCTCGCAACACTTCGAGCGTGCACGTGTGTATCCGGAACAAAGTTTGGGCTTTGTCGCGATTGCTGGAACACGGGGGGACGACCGACACCGCCGTAACCGACCGATATAAAATTTCGAGAAATCTTCGGGGAACGTTTTGTCTCGGAGGGTACGCGATAACGGCAGGAGCTTTTTCGGCGGCGGCGGCGGCAGCGGCTGTGGGGTGACGAGTAAAAACGTCGCGCTGTTACGCGTTGCGTTCTCTCGTTACGAACCGCAGCAGCAGAATACGCTGCGTTCCCTGTGACGATTATTCGTCGAGCGGATAAACCGGCGCCTATTTTTTTTTTTTAGTGAATCCCGATGCAGTGTGCAGTCCGAAATTGGAAATGTGCATTACGGATTCGAAGGTGTTTTTCATGAAACCGGTTTGAAGCAAGATAACTGACGAGGATTTAAATATATCTATTACATTTCAAGTTATATATCCTACATTAGAGTAACACATTTTTAAATGGTTTTCAGGTTTATACCAGACAAAAGTATATTTTTGGTTTAAAAAATAATAACAGATTGATTACCCGATTTTAATATGCGATTTGATTAATAAAAAAGAACTATTAGTGACATTGTACTAAAAATATAATCATTTAGAAGGGGTTAGAGGGGGGGATACTGTATCATATCATATCATTGGTAAATGTGTAAAAAATGTGTAGTACGGATTTTTATGAAAAATAGAGGTTGGGACAACCGGACTATTTCGATTTTTATACGCTTATATTTGTTTTCTGTTTTTTTTTTCTAACTCTCGTGATCGGTGACACCGCGGACGATTTGCAACACGTATGACAAATAGATTTTTCGGAAAAAATGAAAAATCGTGACCTTAGTCTACGTGTGTTCCTACAGGGACTACGTGTTGGTTAGGGTCGAGCATTCTTGAATGCTACGAGTTGCCCGTATGGTTTTCGCATGTCCAATACGTTGAATCTAGATAATTTGACGTATTAGCATTGAACATTTGGAACGCACGTTCGTTGGTTTCGAAATTCTCAAATAACTTTCGTCTAATAAAAATGTCTATTGTAATATTTTCGGTATTATTGTTTTTATTTTTTATCAGCTTATAGGCACGTAAAAATAAATTTAACATTCTATACATATTTAATTTACAGCTAATCGCGATATTGTTCCCTACGAGTTATTATAATATCAGTGTTAGTCGGCCAAAGGCTTGTTACGATAGTTAACAAAACCGCACACGCAAAGCAATCCGTTCGAATAAAAACCTTTTGTAAAGTCTCCGTCTCTTATCATCATGTCTAGTAGACCATCTTCGCTGTCCGAGAGCTGCGGTTTATCGTCTGAAACGCATCGGTTCGGAAAAATAATAATCATTATCATAGATGTGTACACACGCTATAGATGCATGAAAATGAACAAATTTAACCAAAGATTGAATATAATGTTACATTAGGGTACGGTTGGTAAAATCGGGTGTAAGGGAAATGCATAAAAAAACGAAGTTATTCACTCACCGACGACGTTTAACGTGACAAATATGCTCCTCACTGGCTGCGTGCTCACTTGACACTCGTAGATGCCGGCGTCTCTTTTTTGAGCCCACTTGATGTGCAATGTCCATTGATCCGAGTGTGACCTGTGGTGGATTGCTTGAAATCTCTGATCGCTGGTGTACGTGTACGCGCCAACTGTCAGGATATGTATGTCCCGGTGCCTAATCCACGACACCTGAAAAAAAAAAGAAAGAAAACAATCAAACTACTTGTATTACTAAACGATGTAGGTACCACGCATCGAGTAGACCGATATGGTTTCACGAAAAAAGTGCCATATTGATTATACATTCGTAGACTAATATTCTATAATATTTAATTCACAGGAATGAAACACGAACGCGTCATAGTTCAATATTTAAAACGAAAAGTAGGGGTAGTTAATTCTATAAATTTTCTCGACGAATTCAAAACTATTATAAATCCATTAGTTCCGTTAATTCACGTAATAATGTAAAATATATTTTTACATTTAAATTAAATGAAAGAGCACATGATTAACAGTGTACTGTTGTAATATTTTATTGACGAAAAGCAAAAAAAAAAAAAAAAAATAATTTAAAAGAATAACATAGACCCGAAAAAATATGTTAAGTTAAAAATTCGGGCTTTTCCTTTTATTCTCAGTCGGAAAATATTTAATCAAACGAAAACGTTGAATCGAGTTTAAAAACTAATTTAAAGTTTCCAACAAAATTAAGTTTTTGACTATGAGGTGTTGGTAAAGTCTTACGGGCACTACAATTAAGACGCGCAAATCGGTTTGTTATTTCAGTTCACCTTGTATTTGTACCAAAGTATAAATATATAAATATGAAATTACGGGTGGCGTTGACTGAGTAATTGAGCGGTCATATACTATAAACATTATAATTTTTAAATAACTTTTGGTTTTCGTGAGCCAATACCAATGAGCCTATAAAAATTTCGGTTCAATTTTCACGGTTCAACATTCATGGCGCACCAGAGTTTCTGTAAATCGATTGTATTTATGCATTGTGGTTGGATATCAATAACAGATCAACAGAAAATGTTAATCCGTGGAAAGGGGAAAAATTCGAGTAGTTCGGGCAAATCAGTAAATAAATGTAAATCATTTAAAACACCTTTCAAATGTAATATTTTTAAGAGATTACGAGGATTATAATTTCGATTTATTGTGATTCGACAAAATTCGTCGAAGTACCCGTAATGTGATTTAATATTACCTAGGATCAAAGTGATAAATACACAAGAGAGAACATTACGCATAAGATATGAGTACACTCGAGTTTGTTCGATGGAATTTATTCAATCGTATTTAAAATTAACTGTTCGAAGAAATACACACATAAAAAAAAAAAAAAATAAATAAATAAAAAAACTGATTAAAATAAACAAAAAAGAACTGTCTAAAATAAACAAAAAAAAAAAAAAAAAAATAATGTTTACTTTCGTACGATATTATTACCACAAAGTGGTAATAAACATCAAATCTGGAATTGAAAAAATAAGAAGACATTTCAGGAACTTATGAGTAGAAAAGGGTAGATGTATTTTTAAAGACAATAGGAAAGCGTTTACGATTCGGTCGGTACTGGGACATTACATATATGTTCAGTGTGCAAAGTGCACACCTTAAGTAAAGCTACTGATCAAAACATTGTATTGTCGTGGAACGATTTAGTATGAACACATATGTATATATATATGTACACGCGGAGTTTCTGGAGAACGTTAGCGGTTCGAGTAGTGTTTAGATTTCGGAAAACATGGCTGTTTTCACGTGTCAACCCCTTTGAAATGTAAAGCCGAGGCACAAGTCTGTCGTCACCGTTGCGGCGGTTGAAGATTAGACAAAGGTCCGGTGACGGCTCCGGAGTCGAGGGGGTGGGTGATATGTGTGGGGCGTGTGTTAGTCGAGGCAGCTGATGTTGCAGTACCCAGTCCCTTTGCCACGTCGTCCGGTGTTTTATACACTAATGACGTTTCGATTGTCTCCCGTTACCCTCCCCCGACCAACGTTTGCATAGGGTTCCGACGACAACGATGGAACCACACGGGCTTCGAGACATCGAAATGTTCGTGGACCCGAAACGATGACGGACACGGCCGAGAGAAGACGACGGATGACGATGGCGACGACGACGACGACGACGATAACAGCGGCGTCCACGATAACGACGCGACCCTTACACTATATATAAGTTTTGAAGCAATTAAAATCGTTTCCCGAACCTTTTTTTTTTTTTTTTTTTTATAATTATTTTCACCCGTCCCGTTTTGTTTGGAGTAGTTTAAAGCGAGTGGTGATGATAATAATAATAATAATGATTCACCGGGAACGGGAAGAATATAGTATATGTGTGTAGAGAGTCAAAGGACGAGTATTTTTTTTAACATTTTTTTGCCGACCTTTTATCTACCGACTCGACGGTACGTTCACGTCGGTAAGTACACCGGGTAACGAGGCATTATTATAACACCGGTAGTAGCAATAATATGTACGAAGCGACTTTGTCGACGGCATCTCACGTGAAAAAATTACTAAAACATGTGACGCTTGTGCAGTGCACGTGCGGCGCGTATACACGACCGGTTACGCGTTCTCGCCGCTTCGACTCGCCGGGGAAAAGAAATCGTCGACGGCCGATAGCAGCTGCTGTTGCCCGCGGCGCTTGGAGGGCTCCTCGGGATAGCTTCGCCGGGTCGAGGGTGTGCGGGACGAGAGACGACGGCCCGAGCCGATTATTAGATACGGCAAACAGACTGCACTACTGGAAATAAACAAGTAAACTGGGATAATGTTATGCAAACACGGGGATGTGCGATGAAATGAAAATCCCTGTGCAAAGAAATGTACACGCGCTCGCGAGAAAAATCGTTAAATTTCCTTTTGAATTATTAACCCAACGCCATCACCACCACCACTATCACCTATGCACACACCGACGCGCGTCGTGCATGGTTTCATTTCATTGAAATCGGCTGGTGGGAACTCTTATACAATATTCCTATTATTGTTGAACGTAAACGGGTAGCGAACACTTGATTTCATCGTGAGCACGCGGCGCAAATTTCGGAGTTCGGCGAATGCTGCGTAAATAGTGTAATGAAATAACGACGATGTATAATTATTATTCCATTAATTGCGTTACATATTAATGCTGACTACCGACCAAATGATTGTTAGCCTTCTTTGGAGTTCACTAAAATCGTACGCTCAGATTATAAATAACACTAAACGTTCTTTGCATGGTACACATTCTGCAATAGTTTTATAGTTTATGTTACAGCATATACTAATTATGTTTTCTAAATAGTTTTTCAATGAAATATTGTCAACTATAAGTTATAAAAAACTAGATGCATTTTTTAACTACATTCGTTCCTATTGAATGTTTGTTATTTTTAAGTTGCACAGGTATTTTCCATTACCGTTATGTAAGATGTGCAATTAATAATTTGATTGCGGTATAATATTATATTGTTATGGTGTTGAGTATTTCAAAAAATATAATTTCTCTTAATTTTGGAAAAGTTTTCTGTCCTTACAACTTAGTAGTTGAAAGTAATTGCGTTACATTTAAATCCAATACCATTGCTAATATATATTAAAAAAAAAAAAAAGTTTCTCACAATTAGCATTACATTTTTGCAATAATTGTAGGGCGTTACAAGAGACAATGCGTTTTTTTAGACTTTATAGACAGTTAAACTAGAATTTATTACTTTTTTTTTTTTTTTTTTTTTTTTGTTAGAAAAGTAATGCTTACAAGCTTCTGTTAAAGAAGAAAATGTCATCAGCTGTATTTAAACCTGCTTCTTCCAAATCCATGCTTTTAAATTTTAGATTTAATACTCAAGAAAATAATATAATATAAGCTTTAATTTGATAAATTACGACTCTTGATAGGACATTTAATGAGGTTAAATAGTGGCTTTATAATTTTATATTTGATAATCAGGATCGATTACTAAAAACGGAATGTCTTTGATAATAATTTATATTTTAACATAACACTGTATTATAAATATTTTTGTTACTGATCAAGAAAATATTTTAATATCATAATTAAATTTTTTTTTTATTTGCTTTTATTATATATATATATATATATATATAAAAACATTGCAACAACATAGTTAATTAATTAGACTATAATTATATCTCACATTTTACTGTTTTCATCATTTTTTAATTTAATTATCTGATTTCCACTAGTCAATATTTATGAAACTATGTATATTTTATTATAATTTTTATGTCTATAGACAATGCACCAAGTTGATTGTAATCTTATATTATGTAACAAGAATTCAAAATAATACTAGATTATTTAATTTTTCGTACCGTTTACAATATTGTAATAATTGTAAACATTTTAAAATAACATCATCATTTAAAACCCTAAAATGATTATCTAATATATTTTACAGATTATATTACGGTGAAAGTGTTAGAAATTGTAAATGTGTAACTCTTTGCTTTACGTGTGGTAATGTTTTGAATAATTATATTTTAATATTTTCAACCAAAATCGCTAGAAAGAAATATTAAAATATAGTTGTTCAAAGTAATACATTCAATGGAATAATTGTTTAAATTAAAAATGTCAACCAATACTTGTTTTACTAACTTTCTAAGAAACAATACTAAGTATTAACTGTGGAAAAAATAAATGTCAACATTTTTAATGTTATTGAAATTATTTTGGTAAATTATTATTCAAAAGACCAACCTTTCGGTATATAATATAATGTCAGAGGATTATCTTTTTTTACAACGTTGGATATTCTTTTCAGTAAAATGTTCGTGAACAAAATTAAATAATTGGTATTACTGAATAAAACGTTTTTTCGTTGTCTAACATTTCTACTACTAGTATTAATTGTTATTATTTCGTGTTAAGCACTTGTTATGTGCTGACAACTATTTTTTTTAAACATAAAAACGCATCAGTTATGAAGTATATAGTTTTATAATGTAAGTTCTGGGTAAAAAATGCATGTTCTCACATATATGCGTGAAAGTCAAGTGCTAACATGATTAATGTGCTTTAGCTTTTAGGTTTAAAGTTGTATAATGTGTAAATTTTATAAAATAATAAAAATCACTCAACTCGGTTTGAAACGAAAATAAAAAATCATTCTACTCATACATAGAATAATCGATGATAAAGAACATAGTATAAC